CCCCACCCAAAGTCTGTGCTAGCGGTACCCTGAATGCATTCTATAATAAGTAATTATCAACATCAAACACCCTTTAGGCTAATAATACAACGTGGCAAGTTTCCCCTTCTATTGAAAGTTGAGGTGTATGAAACACGTCGCTGATCCCATGTACTGAAGGTGTACCCGGGGGTGAGTTAAAGAGGATGAAGCATGTCACAGTTTCCTGTATTGTAGGTGTACTGGGAGCTGAGTTAATATGCATGAAGCATGTCACAACTCCCTGTATCGTATGTGTACTCGAAGTTGAGGTAAAGTGGATGAAGCATGTCATAGTTCCCTGTATCGTATGTGTACTGGAAGTTGAGGTAAAGTGGATGAAGCATGTCACAGTTTCCTGTATTGTAGGTGTACTGGGAGCTGAGTTAAAGAGTGAGTGAGTTAATGTTTATAGTCACATCGGCAATATTTCAGCCATATCGTGACTAGTTGAGTTAAAGAGGATGAAGCATGTCATAGTTCCCTGTATTGCAGGTGTACTCGAAGTTGAGTTAAAGTGGATGAGGCATGTCACACCTTCCTGTATCGTATGTGTACTCGAAGTTGAGTTAAAGAGGCTGAAGCATGTCACAGTTCCCTGTATTGTAGGTGTACTGGAAGTTGAGGTAAAGTGGATGAAGCATGTCACAGTTTACTGTATCGTATGTGTACTGGAAGTTGAGGTAAAGTGGATGAAGCATGTCACAGTTAACTGTATCGTATGTGTACTGGAAGTTGAGGTAAAGTGGATGAAGCATGTCACAGTTAACTGTATCGTATGTGTAATGGAAGTTGAGGTAAAGTGGATGAAGCATGTCATAGTTAACTGTATCGTATGTGTACTGGAAGTTGAGGTAAAGTGGATGAAGCATGTCACAGTTTACTGTATCGTATGTGTACTGGAAGTTGAGGTAAAGTGGATGAAGCATGTCACAGTTAACTGTATCGTATGTGTACTGGAAGTTGAGGTAAAGTGGATGAAGCATGTCACAGTTAACTGTATCGTATGTGTAATGGAAGTTGAGGTAAAGTGGATGAAGCATGTCATAGTTAACTGTATCGTATGTGTACTGGAAGTTGAGGTAAAGTGGATGAAGCATGTCACAGTTTCCTGTATTGTAGGTGTACTGGGAGCTGAGTTAAAGAGTGAGTGAGTTAATGTTTATAGTCACATCGGCAATATTTCAGCCATATCGTGACTAGTTGAGTTAAAGAGGATGAAGCATGTCACAGTTCCCTGTATTGCAGGTGTACTCGAAGTTGAGTTAAAGTGGATGAGGCATGTCACACCTTCCTGTATCGTATGTGTACTCGAAGTTGAGTTAAAGAGGCTGAAGCATGTCACAGTTCCCTGTATTGCAGGTGTACTCGAAGTTGAGTTAAAGTGGATGAGGCATGTCACACCTTCCTGTATCGTATGTGTACTCGAAGTTGAGGTAAAGTGGATGAAGCATGTCACAGTTAACTGTATCGTATGTGTAATGGAAGTTGAGGTAAAGTGGATGAAGCATGTCATAGTTAACTGTATCGTATGTGTACTGGAAGTTGAGGTAAAGTGGATGAAGCATGTCACAGTTCCCTGTATTGTAGGTGTATTGGAAGTTGAGTTAAAGTTGCTGAAGCATGTCATAGTTCCCTGTATTGTAGGTGTACTGGAAGTTGAGTTAAAGTGGATGAGGCATGTCATAGTTCCCTGTATTGTAGGTGTACTGGAAGTTGAGTTAAAGTGGATGAAGCATGTCACAGTTTACTGTATCGTATGTGTACTGGAAGTTGAGGTAAAGTGGATGAAGCATGTCACAGTTAACTGTATCGTATGTGTACTGGAAGTTGAGGTAAAGTGGATGAAGCATGTCACAGTTAACTGTATCGTATGTGTACTGGAAGTTGAGGTAAAGTTGATGAAGCATGTCACAGTTAACTGTATCGTATGTGTACTGGAAGTTGAGGTAAAGTGGATGAAGCATGTCACAGTTAACTGTATCGTATGTGTACTGGAAGTTGAGGTAAAGTGGATGAAGCATGTCATAGTTAACTGTATCGTATGTGTACTGGAAGTTGAGGTAAAGTGGATGAAGCATGTCACAGTTCCCTGTATTGTAGGTGTATTGGAAGTTGAGTTAAAGTGGATGAAGCATGTCATAGTTCCCTGTATTGTAGGTGTACTGGAAGTTGAGTTAAAGTGGATGAGGCATGTCATAGTTCCCTGTATTGTAGGTGTACTGGAAGTTGAGTTAAAGTGGATGAAGCATGTCATAGTTCCCTGTATCGTAGGTGTACTCGAAGTTGAGTTAAAGAGGATGAAGCATGTCATAGTTCCCTGTATTGCAGGTGTACTGGAAGTTGAGTTAAAGTGGATGAAGCATGTCATAGTTCCCTGTATCGTAGGTGTACTCGAAGTTGAGTTAAAGTGGATGAGGCATGTCATAGTTTCCTGTATTGCAGGTGTACTCGAAGTTGAGTTAAAGTGGATGAGGCATGTCACACCTTCCTGTATCGTATGTGTACTCGAAGTTGAGTTAAAGAGGCTGAAGCATGTCACAGTTCCCTGTATTGCAGGTGTACTCGAAGTTGAGTTAAAGTGGATGAGGCATGTCACACCTTCCTGTATCGTATGTGTACTCGAAGTTGAGTTAAAGAGGATGAAGCATGTCACAGTTCCCTGTATTGTAGGTGTACTGGAAGTTGAGTTAAAGTGGATGAGGCATGTCACAGTTTACTGTATCGTATGTGTACTGGAAGTTGAGGTAAAGTGGATGAAGCATGTCACAGTTAACTGTATCGTATGTGTAATGGAAGTTGAGGTAAAGTGGATGAAGCATGTCATAGTTAACTGTATCGTATGTGTACTGGAAGTTGAGGTAAAGTGGATGAAGCATGTCACAGTTCCCTGTATTGTAGGTGTATTGGAAGTTGAGTTAAAGTGGATGAAGCATGTCATAGTTCCCTGTATTGTAGGTGTACTGGAAGTTGAGTTAAAGTGGATGAGGCATGTCATAGTTCCCTGTATTGTAGGTGTACTGGAAGTTGAGTTAAAGTGGATGAAGCATGTCATAGTTCCCTGTATTGTAGGTGTACTGGAAGTTGAGTTAAAGTGGATGAGGCATGTCATAGTTCCCTGTATTGTAGGTGTACTGGAAGTTGAGTTAAAGTGGATGAGGCATGTCATAGTTCCCTGTATTGTAGGTGTACTGGAAGTTGAGTTAAAGTGGATGAAGCATGTCATAGTTCCCTGTATTGTAGGTGTACTGGAAGTTGAGTTAAAGTGGATGAGGCATGTTATAGTTCCCTGTATTGTAGGTGTACTGGAAGTTGAGTTAAAGTGGATGAAGCATGTCATAGTTCCCTGTATTGTAGGTGTACTGGAAGTTGAGTTAAAGTGGATGAGGCATGTCATAGTTCCCTGTATTGTAGGTGTATTGGAAGTTGAGTTAAAGAGGATGAAGCATGTCACCGTTTCTCGTATTGTAGGTGCATTGGGAGCTGGGTTTAAGTACATGAAGCATGTCAAATTTTCCTGTATTGTACGTGCAATGGGAGATGAGTTAAAGAGGCTGAAGCATGTCACAGTTTCCTGTATTGTACGTGCCACTGGAGTCGAGTTTAAGTACATGAAGCATGTCACAGTTTCCCGTATTGTAGGTGAACTGGGAGTTGAGTTAAAGAGGCTGAAGCATGTCACAGTTTCCTGTATTGAACGTGCACTGGGAGCTGAGTTAAAGAGGATGAAGCATGCCACAGTTTCCCGTATTGTAGGTGTCCTGGGAGCTGGGTTACATTGCATAAAGTATGTCACGACTCCCCAGTATTGTAGGTGTAATTCGAGCTGAGTTAAAGTTCATGAAATGTGTCACAGTTTCCCTTATAGTAGGTGTACTGGGAGCTGAAGTGTATGATGCGTGTCACGCACTCCTTGCATTGTAGGTTTACTGAGACTTAGAGTACATGAATCGTGTCACGCATCCCCTTCATTGTAGGTATATTCAGAGTCTAGGTACCCCAAGCCTTTCACAGAGAGCTGTCGGAAACAGAGCTGTATATCATCTGGCGTCTCAAAACGTGCACCAGTATGCAAATGACGGATGGGAGAAAACGAATTTGTCCCTGCCGTTCCCATGCCTAATAACTTCCAGTCGTATGACACGGCACAGGAGGTTTGAGATGTGAAACACAAAGACATCTGTTGTCTGAAGCACGCCTTGTAGCCAGCTGTGAACATACAGGTTCTGTACCCACTCCCAGGTCATCCTCGTGTCTCCAGACCCTTGTACAAAACACGCTGTACAACATAAACACTGTCTGGAAATTATTGTTGTAGGGAACTCGATGTTAGAAACTCGAACTCCATTAACTCGAGTGAGTGAATATGGTTTTACGCCGCTTTTAGCAATATTTCAGCAATATCACGGCGGGGGACACCGAAAAATGGGCTTCACACATTGTACCCATGTGGGGAATCGAACCCGACCGCCCCTTTTTGACTCGACATGTCATTATTAAAATCAATATCATTTGTATCGGAACTCCGCTTGTAACGAAATGTAAGTAACTCGATGTATGTTCGATATATGCAGGACCTACATATGTATAGTGAGTTTGTGAAAATACTCAAAGTCCTCTGGTTTCCTGGTGGTTAAAGCGTCCTTGCTGCTTATTGGGTTCGATTCCCAAATGGGTATTACATTTTCAGTCTATTCTGAGTGACGTTACCAGCCACGACGATATAACTTGAATATTGCTAACAGCTGTGTGAGTGAGTGAGTGAGTGAGTGAGTGAGTGAGTGAGTGAGTTCCGGTTCCTGGAACGCATCACTTATGAGTATTTAATGTGAATCCTAACTTCCAGATACCTTCCATCGATTGTGTTGCTTTAAGGTAGAAGCACCAACACTGATTACTAGTGTAAAAAGTCAGCATCATAAGCATCGTAAACAAGAAGGAGCACTGATAGCTAAAAACATTACAAAAAGATGTTATTATTTAGATTTTTTTATTCAAAACAAAACATTATTTCAACATTTCAACAATCATTACAACATTTGAACATACATATACATCTTGTAAATAAACAAAGTTGCCACAAATAATGAAAAAATCATCAATTACTTGCTAACATAAACGATTGCACCAAAATGTCATGGCCTAAACAAATGCAACAATTCTGATGGCAGTTTATTGCACTTGCATTGTAAAAACAGGAGAAGCAGTTTATTGCACAAGCATTGTTAAACAGGAGAAGAAGCAAGGTAAACGAGAAGATACGCAATGATAAAAATGTTATTTATGGTGATTCAGAGCTGGTAATATTACATGAAAACATTGATCTTTTCACAACTGTTAATAAGTTTATACAATTTTAGATTATGTAAATGCGTATCTATGGAACCGCGTATATTTATGCGTCAACGTTGTTAATCACAGAATTTAAAATTCTATTTTAAAATTACGACACCCCGAAGTCGGCGTAAAAAAATTCTCAAGGTTATAAACATTGTTTGCATCAGTGATTTAAACTGTCGCTCCAAAAAAGTGTACACCCATGTGGTTAAAAATGAAAAAAATAAAAATAATGCTTAGTCGATGGTGATGTATCTAGACCTTATGTTTGCAGTGTTAAGGCGAATATTTCAGCCTAGTAACATCTTAATAACTTTTATAATTTTTGGGTCAAATCCAATTTTGTATCCAAAGTGTATAGTTTTATTTGCCCGGCAGTGTATTTCGGCAATATGAAATATATATAATACTAAAGGATATATAATATGAATTTTGAATAATGTGTTTTGTATGTACTCAATCTTGATCATGTCTTAGCGGAATTAAAATGTGTGTTCTTTGAACTATCATAACCTCGTATGTCCAAATAAAATCATCAAATGATTAAAAGACAACAAATAGAATGAAATATCACAGCGACGTTGCGTATTAATACAAAAATATGAAAATCATAATAAACGCTGTTACAAAAGGAGCATATTTGTGGGGAAACCTTTACCAGTTTCTTACCAACATTTACACGAAGAAAAAAGCGCCCCCCACCCGTAATATATCGCTCTAAACATAACGGTAATCATCGATACATACACACAGACGCTTCATATTTACACTGACAATTTCACATTCAGACAATATCTTTATATTCACGTGTGATCAGTCATGGGCTCAGAGGGTTCAAATAATACATTAAAGACTTCTTCATCCCCACGTCTAGAGATCATGTCATTTTGCATGATATGTATTTACATATGCGTATTAATTAGTGTAACATTTATGTTTTTGGCCTGAATACGGTAATCACTATATACAAAACAGCACTATTTTGACCGTTCATGACGCCATCTTGGCCATGTGAGGACATTTTAACTTCCGGTCACATGACATGTCCACATATTTCAAACACGTCTATACGCCCACATGATACAATGGCCGTTTCTTTGGTTTCGTATTTAGAACAAAGATGTCCATAACTTTAGACAATGAATTATTCATCTGTCATTGAATTATACATATGCGGCATGGTGATCTTAGTTTACAATGCTATCAGTCCTTGATATGATATTTTGATCTTGATCACTCGGGTTTGAATAATCGGTCAGTTGAACTGGCAACCATGGCCTCCGCATGCTCACGCGCACGTCGCCTCAGTTCCGCTACAGATGAGTTCCGGTGCTCGTGCATCGCTAGAAATGGCGGCCATGTTGGTCGCGAAGGGTTGGAACACAGGCAAAATGGCATACAACCTGAAAATGAAAATATCCTTGTAAGTACATGTTTAATGGAGTCCTGGAATACATAATGCATCAATATTGTATATAATGAGAAAAAATATCGAAATTGCAAAATATGGATCCACTTATTCTAATATATATTCCACGAAATAATAAAGATTGACCGTCAACGTCGTTAAGCTCTATCGGTTCTGTCCTGTGATGTTCACACTTCTTTTTATAACGTTTGAAGTTCTTTCAAGATATTCAAAAACCTCTATCTTGTCTTTTCAAAGGTGCGTTTTGGGGATTATTATAAAAATATCCCCCATGATCAATTCAAAAACAGATATAAACTTCATTCGTGCCACTATAATTTGATGATGAGTATTCACAATAACTAAAAAAAATAATATTATTTGTCAGCATGGACATTTAAGTCGTAAGAGCATTAAAGGCACCTTACAAAAGAACTTTACAAGGCATATGTTCAAAGGAAATGCATGCCATAATCGTAAATGATGCAGGTTCTGTCACTACATGGAAAACTGTGGTAAATGAATGTTTGATGTGTCAATCTCCTTTGGGTGCGGGAGTGTCTGTCTTGTGTCAAACAGTGGTAACAGAGTCAGGAGTCCCCGCGGTAACACGTCGGTAACATGTCGGTATCAAGGTGAAGGACGATAAAGGCTTCACTAACAACATTTCCTGTCAGTTATGGCATCTAGGTTGATACAACCATGCGTATTGGATATTTTCAATCTAAACATCAACCGTAATATATACAAGCGACAAAAAGCATTTCCATGATCATAAGAAATCGTATTTTGTACGATGCCGACTATATCATATTCAACATGTTTACCATAGTGATGATAACATGTGTTCGCACAAAGCCTATTGATCTACCTATCTATCTATTCATTACCGTTCTAGGTTTATTTTTTTCTGTACAGGAACATCCATATTTATCCAAAGGATCATCACCCCGAACCAGAACTACGTCAATGTCACTTGTTAATTTTAGTCCGGATTAACCAGGTTGAGTTGTATATCGACTATGTGTAGACTTATCTTTTATTTACCTTGTATCTATGTGTAGACTTATCTTTTATTTACCTTGTATCTATGTGTAGACTTATCTTTTATTTACCATGCATCTATGTGTAGACTTATCTTATATTTACCTTGTATCTATGTGTAGACTTATCTTTTATTTACCATGCATCTATGTGTAGACTTATCTTTTGTTTACCATGCATCTATGTGTAGACTTATCTTTATTTACCATGCATCTATGTGTAGACATATCTTTTATTTACCATGCATCTATGTGTAGACTTATCTTTTATTTACCTTGTATGTATGTGTAGACTTATCTTTTATTTACCATGGATCTATGTGTAGACTTATCTTTTATTTACCTTGTATCTATGTTTAGACTTATCTTTTATTTACCATGCATCTATGTGTAGACTTATCTTTTATTTACCATGCATCTATGTGTAGACTTATCTTTTGTTTACCATGCATCTATGTGTAGACTTATCTTTAGTTTAACTTTAACCAACGATCTGCCAAGTCTTACTTTAACCAACGGTCTGCCCATTCTTACTTTAACCAACGTTCTGCCTATTTTCACTTTAACCAACGTTCTGCCTAGTTTAACTTTAACTAACGATCTGCCTAGTCTTATTTTAACCAACGATCTGCCCATTCTTACTTTAACCAACGATCTGCCTCTTTTCATTTCAACCAACGTTCTGCCTAGTTTAACTTTAACCAACGATCTGCCAAGTCTTACTTTAACTAACAATCTGCCAAGTCTTAAGTTAGCCAACGATCTGCCTAGTCTTAATTTAACCAACGATCTGCTTAGTCTTAATTTAACCAACGACCTGCCAAGTCTTAATTTAACCAACGATCTGCCAAGTCTTACTTTAACCAACGACCTGCCAAGTCTTAATTTAACCAACGATCTGCCAAGTCATAATTCAACCAACGATCTGCCAAGTCATAATTTAACCAACGATCTGCCGTTTCTTACTTCAGCCAACGATCTGCCGTTTCTTACTTTAATCAACGGTCTGCTTGGTCTTAATTTAACCAACGATCTGCCTAGTCTTACTTCAACCAACGATCTGCCTAGTCTTACTTCAACCAACGAACGATCTGCCTAGTCTTACTTCAACCAACGAACGATCTGCCTCGTCTTACTTTAACCAACGATCTGCCTCGTCTTACTTTAACCAACGATCTGCCTAGCCTTACTTTTCTTTATCACACCTCGTCGCTGTACGGCAGAAACATTGGCGATGTGCCGGTAAATGTGAACTCTCTCACTCTAATAGCACATTGCTTTGTATAACAGCACCTACTGCATCGCCGCCCGCATCAATATAATACATCTTCACACAAAGCATTTCATAACACTAATAATGAAGTCGAGGCACGTCCAATCTCCTTTGTCGGTGTACAACACTAAATTACAGGCGAGTAATACTGCGACTTCACGCAGTGATCTGTGCAACTCTTGTCTCTCTCACTGGCTATCTAGTGAGCTTCTTGCTTCAACATAAAATATTTAGTACGCCAAGCACAGATACATTTGTTTTTTTTCTGTCGAAGAAACTAGCGGCAAATTAGGTTTGGATGAAAATTAAAGTTTTTTCTCTGCTTAAATGAGGTCGCAGCGACACTCAAGCGAATCTGAATGACACAGGTTTGGTGGCAAAGACCAAATAAATTGATTCCGCTATGCTTGGGGTTCCCCTAGGACCATAAGTCACTGACTCTTACGATAACAAGTCTAAATTTAATCTATTTTAAAATGTTTTAGTAAGATATAATTACATTGCTCAAATTGTATTATCGAGAAAAACTATCTAATTTACTCAACTGTATACGTGAGTAGCATGTCAAATATACGTATTGATTGCCAAGGAGACGAGGCGTTTAGAGGATTAGAATTTCATGGAAAACGTTTAACATCAATCCATGTTCGGCGTCACGCCACCTCGACTGAGGAATATATCTAGCACGGTTTGATCACGTTATATACAAGTTGGAAATGACGTTGATTTTTAACGTTAAAATTTAGTTTTCTCGCTCCATGTACTAAATGACACGATTGTTAGTTTTTTCGCAATAAGGTTTAACGGTTTTCCTCTGGCTAAGTAGATTATACGTCTTTTTATTCACAAGATGAGAGCTAATTCCACTTTTTGAACACCATAATAGGGTATTATTGAATCAAATGGTCTGACGTTCCTTTTGCAAACTCTGAGCATAACGTATAGTCAAGATATTTATAACGTAACAAACGTCAAGAAACTTTTTATGTTCATAAGTTTCTTGCATGAACTACCCGCCGTGATGCTGCGGGAATATTGCAAAAAGCGGTCTAAAGGCATACTAACTCACTCATGCATGAACGAAGACATGTTCTTTCGTGAAGCTTGTGTATATACTTTGAATAAGCTACATGATATTTAACGCAAGTTCCAATTGAACTTGTTCTTATACAAGTGACCCATCCGGTTTGACATGCGTAGTACATACCTTTAAAAGCCGGATGTGGATAGTGTTGAAGCAGGGGTCTATGGTTAAAATGAGCGTCGTAACATGGCTTCATGCTGGACCTGATGAAGAAATAAAATGTTATAGTGACATAGTAGCACATGATTATTATTTTACACAATATTAAAGAATTCAGATGTAGGTGACTGAGGGAGTATCGTTTCAGCCGTTCTTAGCAGTATTTCAGCAATATCAAGGCGAAGGACACTAGAAATGGGCTTCACGTGGGAAATCGAACCTGGGTGTTCGGCGTGACGAGAGCGCCTTTTAACCATCAGACTACCCCACCACCCCAAGTCAGATATAAAGTGGGTGACTTTAGTTTTACACCGCTTTCACAAGTTGTTCGGATAATTAAGAGAAATCAGCGTATTGTGAAGGAAAGGCCAGTGATGCAAATCATGGACACTTAAAGTAACCAACACACACGGATCTGGTGCCATCAAACCTAGAAACGTAATCGCGGCGATACAAACACACAGCTAACGGATCCGCAGAGACGTCACTCAACACAGCGAATGTTGATGCCTAACGTCACATTATTTTGTCGTGTAACTTCGTTACATATTGATATGATAGGGACTCATATATGTTCAACTTCTATTTCCATGACTCAACCGTTACAGTATCAGGGATTCGTCAGTCGGTTATGAAAAGGACAAACAACACGGGTATTGTTTCCGTGATTCTTATTTCTGCTTACCCGTCAAACATAGGGAAGAACCCTGGCCTGGAAGCTGAAGCCACAAGTAGAGACTGGGAGAACGGGAGATGACCTGCGCTCACTTTGGCGAAGAAGTCTGACTGAGGCAATCCAAGTGACGGCATGGTGCTGACTGATGTCTTCAGACCTGCGGGGGAGGAAGGCTCACCAGGTGCCAGGGAGTCGAACTCAGACGGCGTGGGTCTGTTAGTATCCTCCTCTGTCTGTGCCTGCTGTCTGTCGTCTGCTGTCGTGCTCCTGTCGTCTGGCCCTTCGTGGTCGTCTGGTGTTTCCCGCCCTTCGGTATCTGACACACACAAATCTCGTGCTTCACCTTTATTGTCCCGATCAGATTCCTCCGTATCGTCTTTGATCACAAGGTTTTCTGGAATGTCACTAGTATCTTGCGTTTCTGTACACACAATTGGTTTAGACTCCAAAACGGGTGACGCGACACCTGAAAGTTTTGTTTCCTCAGCCACAGTGATCTCCCCTGTCTCACCCAGTGTGTCCTTCACCTCCTCACTATCTTCCGGTCTCACACCTTCCTGTCCCACCTCCACACCTATATCGGTGTCACTGTGCTGTTCTGACTCCTCACCCCCGGGCATATCACCCTTACCCCCCTGGGGCTGTTGTTGTGCAAATCTCTCACTTTTTCTCCACTTGGCGCGCCGGTTCTGGAACCATACCTGTGTGTATAAAGAGATTCACCATATAGACATCGAAGTACAAAAACAATCGTTGAAATAGAAATTCAAAATAATGAAAGAACACTTTACATTAGGTACACAGTAATTGTTGATGTTGTCAAAATGGGAACTTTCTAAATAAAGAAAGAAATCGAAGTACACAGCAACCGCAGTTTGACATACACAAATTTCAAAATAATCGTTGATGTTGTGTAAATAGGAAATTTCTAAATAAATAAAGAGGCATATGTATACCCCCTCCCCCCAAAAAAGAAAGAAAGAAAGAAAAGGAAGAAAGAAACTTAATTCTTTTTACAAATTAAAAAATATATATATATATAAATAACAAAAATAGTATACAATAAAATAAATAAATAAAAATGAAAACAACCACACACACACACATATTCCAATCAGTCTATGTTTTAGAAAACTCTCTTCATCACAGACTTGGATGGTGACTCTCTCAACGTTAACAGTTAATTAAAATTATGAATGCAAGTGATACAAGAGTTATGTTACCGTATATATTCAAAAGGTTTCCAGCAGTTACACTTTTCAAGTAAATATAAAGAGAAACTCCACCGTTCCCATCACAAGTGCCTAGTAATCGTATACCTGGGTGCATTTAACCTTTCAATCAATCAGGACGAGGTATATTACCACTGGATCTGCATAATCATACTTCTTATCAAATGTGTTCATATGAAGGAAAATTAGATTTTGTTCATCTCAACATTGTGTTTACTTACTACAACACTTAATGGACAGCGGGGCTAAAATGTGTCAGAAAGGTTGATGTTCAAGGTTCTCTGTAAGCGTTTTTGTAATATATGACGGGCCCTTGACCCAAGATGAATTTCCAGGGGATATAGATAAAGACAGCAGACATATATAACAGTTCATCTTAGTCAAGGACTTGCTCATAGAAATAGATTCACCAATAAATCGGCCTTTTTCACTCATTTTTGGCCAAACTGATGTATTTGATGATGTCGGAAGACCAACCCTTCCACGCGTAAGAAAGATGTAAATACTTGTCAGCCATTTAAACCAATCTAATAATATTTTTAAGATTTCATAAATTTATAAAAATGACATTTTCTGTGGGTACAAAAGGGCCCCTTATCCTTCCACGTCCTATTCTCTTTTAACGAATGTGTCTTGTCATCGTCTAGCGTGATGGGACAAAGTGAAGAGCGAGAAATAGTCGGGAAATAGAAGAGTTCGACACAACCATACGTGCCGTGTATCCAGGTCACTTGATAATAGAGTCACGTGCCTTGTCGTTTTTCGAATCCCTTTCACAGCAGCATTAGCCTTGACATGTCGGCTGTACAATAAGATTATTTCCTAAAGACGTGGCGTGACAAAGATTATGCCAAAATGTCACTTTTGTTGACTCTTAATTTATTGATTTGTGCCAAGGAAAACTGGATTTTTATCCCCTACCATGCGTGCTCCCGTGGGCAGTTCCACTCGCGTCATAAGTCTGTATTTGCCTCATACCTCCAAACAACCTGACTCGTGGTCTCTCACAAAGCGCTTCAACTTCTCATCCAAATAGTCACGTGACCCATACCTTTCTCAGCCAAATCCCCAAATCGATGTAATTAGGTTTAATCTGGTTGGTACTGTCATCGGGCAATATTTCATGTGCTCAGGGTCTGAACGGTCTTGATGGGTATTTGTCCCTCAATTTACAAATGCATCTTGCTCATTAATTAGCCATTACCTTCTAATTTAATCAGCGATCCTTTCCATTGTCATTATGGCGATTACCTCTGTTTCGCCTTCTTGTTTATTCTGACGACTGTGAAGAAGTTCCAAGGATCCTTAAGTTCCGCTGGGGTCTAACGTGAGATTGGAGTGTAAAGCGTGGAGAATTTTAACACTGAATGGTAGACCAAGTGAGAAGGCGTGAAACGGAGACGGAATAAAGCCATTTGGCTGACAAAACCACCTCCCTTCCCTCATCAAACATTAAAGAGTAGCTTGAGACATGTTTTTAGCCTAATCGAATCAAACGAAGTCAGTTTGTCAATTTTATTTTGAATTAAATTCAGGCGTTGGTGGTGTGTGCTTCCGCATCCGGGCACTGAGGCAAAGTAACTGTTTCTTCTAGCGCATTAGCTCCGTTTCGCTACCACAGCGGAAAGCTCTTGTCAATCCAGCGTGCTCAATACAGGGGGGCTAAAACTTTTTAAATTGAGTTAATCTATTTGATTAAGACACAGCGAGGATGGTGAGTCGTCCTTCCGCGCATCCCGACACTAGCTAAACTCCACACACCAACACGCTGTCAGGAGCTTGTCACACGTTCAACCAGTAAATCGAGTGAATCACATAAGGTGTCTACACATTTTGCCTTGCGATGGAAACAAATTACATCAGAGCGTAAATACCTCTTTCAACATCCCAGATTTACACTTCCTAATGGTTGAGATCTAATTGATCATATGAGATAAGTCGAGGAGAACATCGTCTTAGCTCTGGTTGTTTTGCTTTCTCGGCACATGAATAAGTTTTCTACATGGTCGCCGAGTGCTATCGCCATACGGTGTCTAGAATTGATTCCACTGTATACAAGAAGGCTATCGGTTTAATGAGAAAAAGAATATCGGGTGTATGTGAAGGAATACAGGTTTTTCAGAAGGAATATCGGATGTATGAGAAAGAATAGCAAATGTTTGAAATGAATATCGAATTCATAAGAAATATCGGATTTACGAGAAAGAATATCGAATGAATGAGAATGAATATCGGATTAATAAGAAGGAATAGCGTATTTAAGAGAAGTAATATCGGATTTATAAGAAGGAATATCGGATTTTTTTTAAGGAATATCGAAAGTATGAGAAGGGATATCGTATTTATCAGAATATCCTTTGGTTTAGAAGGAATATCGAGGTTTATGTAAAAGTGCACCACCTGGTGATAAATCGTTGTGATTTTTTTCGCGATCTCAAAAGTGAGTTGGTGTAATATACAATGCTATTGCAGGTCCCCGGGCGACTAAATCTAAATTACCGAATAGTCATAGAATTTTATTTTCCTATAAATGAGTGTTTTAAGTGTATCCACTATTGAAATCTTATTGATTGTAGTCACATGTATTCACGTGTATTTGTGTTCTTTATAAGTAATATAAATGGATTTTAAAACTGATACCGGTCACCTTGACAATAAATTAATGCAGTTCGTAATGTAACGCAGCTTTTACTTGAACAGATCACAGCAAAAAGTTAATCTCCTTTTATCCTATTACCAGAAAGTAGTCCTTTACGAGTCCTTCCTAACACTATCAAAGACTTAGCTCGTCTTATTCTAAGGCGTATTCTTAAAGGAAAACTATGACCTGGTTAGTCTAAATCAAGCAAATAAAAAAGGTCATGATGTAGAGTGAGATTTTACGCTATTTAAGTTAAATGACGGTATGGGACCGTGGTTAGACAGTATGTCCAAGGGAATCGAACCCGGGTCATTGTCGTGACGAGCGAACGGTTTGGAGTTTTACAAATCAAGTCATCTTTCTTCCCTCGGGGCAGGGTGCTAGTGTTGACAGAAAAGCCAGTTCTGTTATAGATATTACGTAGATGGGTACTCGATAGAAAATAGTGAATATATGTGTACCATTTTAACGCGTCATAAAAAGTTGACATACACACTTTTTGGAGGGTTTGAAGAATACAAACAGCTGATGAACGTGTAATAGCTCATGATACCAAGTATCCATACACTGACAAATCGTTAAACCGAAGTCATCGAGACTATTGATAATATATGAGTTATAGATAGGTCGAGAAAAGGGGAGTGGCGATATTGGACCATAGTGTAAATACGGATCCTAGTCAGGCCATATATACGACATACAAAAAGTTAAGGACCACGCGATTCTTTCATTTTACTTTAATTAATCTGTCGTGCTATGATTGAGAGTTTGGTTTTACGCAGCCCTTAGCAATATTCCAGCAATATCACGGCGGGGACACCAGAAATGGGCTTCACACATTGTACCCATGTCGGGAATCGAACCCGGGTCTTCGGCGTGACGAGCGAACGCTTTAACCACTAGGTTACCCGACGGCCCTGTGTTGCTTTGACAACTTTGATGAACTATAGTAATATGAAAGAATCGGGTGGTCTTTAACTTCTTTTGAGTAGTGTAATTACATTGCATAACGACTGTACAGGACTCCAGCAATACACTGAACACTGTAGACACACAATTATAATGAAAATACCCACACACGTATTGGTTTAATTAACACATGAAATATGTCAACTGCGATTGGTACTTGCTAGCATTGGTTAAGTGTTTCCTCTCCAAGACAGTATGCAAGTATCAGAGTACTAGTACGTGGTACCACTGACCTGAACTCGAGCTTCTGTGAGATTAATGCGCATCGCCAGATCCTCGCGCATGAATACATCTGGATAGTGGGTCTGCGCAAAGGCTTTTTCAAGTTCCTCCAGCTGCGAGAAATGGAAACATTACATTATTATATTTATATTATATATATTATATTTTTTATATTTGTCATGTTCGAGTTACTAATTTCATCATTTTACATGATATACATAAGCTGCCCACGCGGCACCGTTTACCCTCAGACTTCACAAATGAAAGAACGGTCTATAAATTGCGATCGTTGTCAAATTATATGCTAAAAGAATATGTGCTGACACAATAAGTAACAACGCCGGAAGTTGACCTACCTGTTGTAAGGTGAAGGTCGTTCTGTTGCGGCGCTGCTTCCGCCGCGCAAACGTGTCGTCATGGAGATCTGTATGTAGACCATATGCCGGATCTGTGAACACAACACACGTATTGATAATATTTATGTGGAAATATATTGTCATTGGTTTTAAATGGTATTATGATGTTATTTTTAAGAACATAACAATAAACGAATGATTTTGTATGCATATGTGACAGAAACAATTCTGCTGCGACTGCGAGTGAATGGAGTTGTACGTCGCTTGAATGATATCTGGTATCATCCCTATTTGATAGTGATTAAAAACATACATGCCCATGATACAGTCGATATAATCGTACAATCGATGGGCAGAAATTTCATATGAATGTGGAAAGGGGTTTGTCGCTTATATTTTACTAACATTCAACCATATTGGAAAAACAGAAATAGGATTCACATTTTGTACAGATATAGGGAATCGAACCCGGGTCTTTGACTTGAAGAGCGGACGCCAAGCGGCTACAACACTGCCCAACTCCGGTGCGGCTAAAGGGAAATATATCAAATATTGCACACCACAATTTCATATGCGGCAAATAGCAAATGAACCTCTGAGGACTGTTTGCACAAAAGCCTCTAGTCTAGACCAATATGTGTCACTATGTGCAGAGGCGAGGATAGCGTAGCTAACACGATGACATTTGTTGTTCCAAATACCGTGATTTGATATTACAATTTATCAAGTGGGAGGCAGCTTCACTCATTAATCAGTCTTTACGAATATTCAACAATAATTATGCCGTTTAGGACAAAACGTCAAATATCTTTTGAAAATATGTTATTAAATCAGGACTGGCGATAAATCGCTGAATGGCTGTCGGAAATGCATTGTAAAATAGGGAAATCTCATTCAAGACCTGCCTCTAACCCAATACACCGACGTGATAACGCTTCTGTTCCCTGATTTTGTCCAAATCGCTTTTAGATACTAGGTAATCAACTAATTCTCACTAAACGAGTCTAACAAATCAAACTAATTTGTGACCCAAAACCTAATATTCACGCAAAAAAGAGTCACAAATGACATTCTGTGATTTTTCACTACCTCTTGGGGCGACAGGACGCATCCAGAGGCAGTCGGGAAGAGTCATGCCCCGAATCTTGACGTCTACTATTGTGATAATTGCCCGTCAAGACTAACGCTATTACGACCAGTACTGGCTCCCACATTAGGTTTATTAATAGCACTTCATTGTTGGTAATTGCTTTGAAGAAAAACTGTGATCGAAGAAGAAAAGAAGCGAAGCCGTACACAATGCTACTAATGAGCTTACAGTTGGGTTAATATACTGTTGAAATGGGCGTATAATAAAAATAAATGTCATTTCTTTTAGTGATGGTCCCAGACGCAAATGTCCCAAGGTGTCTCGAAAGCCGGAAGCGGAAATAGCAGCAATGCCTTCTGGTATATTTCATTGTCGTAACTAGAAAAATATACTTGAAAGGAAAAAATACGAAAGTTTGAACAATTAGCCCTTGACAGTTGTTAGTATTGCGGGAGTAGGTTAAACCCTACAACGGCCTGACAATTCAACGGCTTGAAGGTATGTGTTTGAACTTTCATAATGACAAGAAAAAACGCATTTAACAGTTATCCCCCGTCTCAGTTTCACCGCTAGAGGGCGTTGATCTGATTCTTGTCATCCTTATAATTAAGAACAACTTGACTCACGCTTTTTTCATTCTTTGTCTTTGAAACAATTTAAACAATTGGAAGAATACCATTGTCACAATTTTAGGAATTACATCAATCATTTTGAAACTGCTACAGCCAATGGCGATATCCTGCCATGAAGAATATGCCATGGAATGAAAGGTTTTATTTGTTCGTAGAATTTGACATGAACGTTAAAATATGAGATCCGGCTTTTTTTTTACAAAACCGAATGATGATTTAGAATTGAATATTACGCAATACACATTATACATTTAATTATTCCTATCATACAAATCGTCAGGAGATCGAAAATATTAATAAGGTAATATAAATATTGGTTACTATTGATAACCGGTTCGGGTTCGTCAGAAGCGTGTTTGTACGTATGCCTGTCGATTCCTTTAAACGACCATCTCTAATGGCAAGAACAGATTAAAACTAGATACAGGTATGAATGAAAGGCATGAAATGTTCCTTTAAACATACCCTACAGGGAAAATAAGAAATATTTTTCAAGTAACCATACATTTTATGAGATATTAAAAAATACAAATAAAATACCCTCCATGGAACGAGATTGTAAGATCTAACATAATTATAATATTAATTATTCCATATTGAAATTTATACCATGACTAACGTTTGACATTAACTATCGACAATATAAATATGCGTCATTAATGATAAATGCATCTTGTATGACTTTTTCAGGTGATAATGGTCCGATACATTCATACGATGTTAAAGTATTAAAGTGTCACCTGTTTTCGTGACACATTGAAATGAATTAACTTTTCACGTTTACGTGTATGCACGATTTACCCATTTCTGATATATGCATACTTTACGATACCCCATTCATACATTAAAAAAATACACTTTTTTAAATTGATATTTAAAATTGAAATACATAGTAATTGTATTATACAATTTTTCAACGTGCATATACAGCTAAAAGATGCACTGTGCATTTTAACACTTAACCAACACGCCAAATGTCATGAGTGTATTTTAGATACTATGACTCCATTTGCATGAGGCAAAGTATGTGAATAAACTACGTTGTGCAATAATTCTATATATATCGTGAACTCGGTACCACATTCTGAGACGTCAGCGTTCTATGTATACATCGAAAAATTCAGATCTTTTCATCTCTGCTTTCATTAGGATGTTGAGGGTTTAAGAAACCATTATTCCAAGAATTTGGCCCCGGTGCCTAAGGAAACTTATTCCTAACAACATACGTCGTTTTACTCATCTAATAATGTACCAGAATAATAAACCCCTTCAAGACACACTTAGCATATAGAAATTGTTTATTTCGCGAGAGTATATAGACACACTCAAACGGCATAAAGCATTTGTTTCCGCAATCATCGCGCTAACCAGAGGAAGTCCTCCGTATCGATTGGAAAAGCTAATGCTGTCTTCCTAACAAGTTATTGTAGTTAAAAACACACAGCAGTCAAAAGATGCCACTTCGCCGGCAAAAAAACAACGACGGAGGACATTAGGACGTCAACGCTTTTGTGTATGTTTCCTTAACGAGAAACGACCGAGCTAAGCAGAAAATTAGCAGAAAAACTGCTCCAGCAGAGCTTTCACGAACACATTAATGAATCAAATAGCATTTCCTCTCGGCCGAGTATCTGCAATTATCAGCTTACAAAGACTAAAATACCCACACTACGTTCAGATATTTCTTGTAACAACAGAAGCGTAGCGAGTCCAACCACCACACAAGGTTCTTAAACAGATAAAATAGAATTATATCATCATTGAATTATTTCTGGCTTAAAAAGCCCTTTCCTTGCGTCAGAGTGTCCATTAGGGGCCCGGCATAATAAACTTAGAGATAATTATGTTCTCTCTGGCATTGTCGTGCCTTTTGATCTCGCCTTTTGCCCACGGAGATTGTCGATGGATGCCGACTGTCGAGGTTTTCTGGGCAAGAAGAACTATCGCCTCATGACTTAGTACTTGACAACAGCACAACACATGTAGGGTGGTTTGTGTGGTGAGACTGAATGAAATCACTTATAAAATAAACAATTTACTCTTTGTGTATTTTATCCGATATGAGCCGGATATTTTTCTATTGTGTGGGAGTCTTTATTTGTTGGGCTGTAACAACATGTAAATATAAGAAGTCGTGAAAGACAAAGCATTGCACCACGAGCTGATGGCGCTTATAATCGCCTTCAGGAGGTCTAGAAAAACATGCCAGATCAAACAACGGTAATGCTATAATTACTGCCCGATCTCAGGGTATTTGGTAAACCTATCCTAACCTTATTGATATTGATGGAATTTTTATGACAGTTTTTCACTATGGAATTCAAGAACAGCGGATGTATTTACATGCCAAAGACCGTCGACTTTGATAACCGAAACACGGGCCTTGAATAACCTTGAATGTGGTCAGGTTAAATTATTGCAAAGTAACAATGTGATGTGATAATTTGAAAAAAAAAGTCTCATAATTATGGGAAAATAACACTCGTGAATGCATAAACAATCTTAGTGACCTGGATCATTCCACTATAAATAAATAATTCAAAATGCCATTAATTATGTCACTGTAGATGTTGATATAGATGACCCTGGGCTGACGAGTCGAAGCAGTACGGATTTACTAAGCACGGATATCTCGAAGTACATATGTACACGTCCAATTAATGTTTAGATATTGAAATATTTTGGTTTCTTATTTTTTAAACGACGCATTCAGCAATGTTCGCGCTATATAACGGTGATCTGTAAATAATCGAGTCTGGACCAGACAGTCCAGTGATTGACATCACGGGCATCGATCTAAGCAATTGGAATACAATGACATGAATCAACCAAGTCAGCGAGCCTGACCACCCGATCCCGTTAGTCGCCTCTTACGACAAGCATGGTTTTTGAAGACCTATTCTAACCCGGATTTTCACACTGTATTGAAATATTAGTCCATGCGAAGTGGAACACGGTTGGTCCTGAAACCCGACATCCTAGACAATAACTTTATGAAACATCTATCGGGGCTGAAATGGTTTGTCCGCTTGGTCAGCTGTTGCTAGTCTGAAGGACATCCGTGTATAAATACATGTATATCTTTGTCACATGTTTCCCTGTTTTGATCAGAGTGTTATCATTAACGGTATGTTTGTTGGTGTATCACGAAAGAGCGTGCATGACGTAGTGCGAGATAGGTACTGGAGCATGCCGACATGACCGCAGTGCGCTGATGAATGATGATGGTGCTGTCATAGACACGGGCACTGTCGACATCGGACAGACTTGCACTTATACTGACGGTGTGAAGTAAGTACAGTAAACTACGGTTATAACGAAATCAAAGGGACTACTAATTTTAGTTCGTTATAACCGTAGTTCGTAATAAGTACATATACAGCATGACTACAGCAAGTAGTCGGGACCAAAAAGTAAGTTCGTTATATCCGTCAGTTCGTTATAAGCGTGTTCGTTATAACCGTAGTTTACTGTAGACTATGCATCCATAGCCGGGCGAGGTACACAGACGGGGTTGTACAGATTCTGACCCTGGGCAGGGTTTAACAGCTGACACCCAGGATTTGCACACAAATGAAGAGATGTAGTGTTTAAAGGGTAGTGAGGATGGGTGGTGGGGTAGTTGATTGGGGTGGGGGTAAGGTGGGGAGAGTGAGTGAGTTATCGTTGCATTGGCATTATTTCAGCCATATAGCGTGAGGAGAGGAAGATGATGGGTGTGTGAGAGGAAGAGGAGAAGAGTGAATGAGAGAAGAAGTCGGGAGTTGCTTGGGTGGTTGAGTGAGTGAGTATTGTTTTACGCCGCTTTTAGCAATATTCCAGCAATATCACGGTAGGGGACACCAGAAATGGGCTTCACACATTGTACCCATGTCGGGAATCGAACCCGGGTCTTCGGCGTGACGAGCGAACGCTTTAACCACCAGGCTACCCGACCGCCCCGTTGAGTGAGTGAAAGAGGTATAAGGTTGACGTGTGGGTGAGTGAGGGAAGGTGTCGAAGGATGGTTGATTGAGTGAAGGGGGGCGGGGTTAAGTGGTTGACTGAGTGAGAGTGAAAGAATGAGCGAGAGATGCAGGAACGGGGTTGATGGATGGTTGAACGAAGAAACGTCGCAAGCAGTGCGTGAGTGCGGATGTGTTATTGTGTGAGTGAGGAAAAAGAAGAGGAGATGCATGTATATGATAGAGAGGGGAGGGGAATGTGTGAGACGGGAAATTAACTGAGCCAATGGGTGGGTCTGGTTGGACTTATCGGTGAGTGAGTGAGTGAGTGAGTGAGTGAGTGAGTGAGCGAGTCTGGACACTGACAGGAAGACCAGTTAAACTGACACCCATATATACAGACAGTACAGTGACAGTCAGGGTACTTACATGGCGTGTGGGGCTGGCAGCTGTAGTCAAGCCCCAGGGGTCGGACTGCCGGGTGAAGCGACGGTGGACAGTGAAAACACGGGAACATGCTGCCAGGCAGACCTCGGTTTGAGTTGGGGAAAATCTACAATCAAAGACCGATAGTGTTACAACGCTTGACGCTCACGCACCTGCAATCAGGCCTCCATCACGCTAGCAAAACCGGTAAATCACACTTAATCTGATATCGTTTAAATTACACTAGAATTTCAAATGAGATATTCTGATACTAAACTTTAAAATATAGTAGCTATTTGTTATTGAATCATTAAAAAATCAGTTTTTTTTGCCTTTATTCTATTTGCAAATTTTATAATAACTGTTAGTGTTAGTGTGAAATAAAGTAAATAAAGTAAATACTGGGAAAAGGCTAACATATATACCTAGATAATTAAATTTTACTTCTTTACTGGCAGAAATTCTGTAATTCTTAGTATTCTTATAGATAGACGTTAGCTAATATAGAAATAAACTTTTCCAGCGTCAAATATTCATTGTTGCTCGTCAGAAATCAATAAATGAATTATATATCAACGAACAAAAGGCTCTCGTGGAAACAGGTTTGAAACAGTTTCCCAAAGGACAATAAATCCGAGATGAAATTAACGCCTGTCCCAAACAAGTAACATTCCTGAATAATGTCCTATTGGAGAGACATATTGCCGGTCATAAAAAATACAGATCCGGTGTTTTCGTTTGCTTTTTTTAACCAGCCGTGTGCAATTAAATGATCCATTTCTAAATGCCTGCATTTCATTTAGGAGATACGTGTTGAAAGTTTCCCGAAGCGTTTCAGGTAATTGTACAGGTAGTAACGTTTTCCCGGATCTCGCACCTGAGAGGAAGGGTCACACCTGGAGCGAAGAGTACTGCCAGGCCGCAACCCCAATATTGAGTTTCCAATGAGGAAGTTGGTATAATTGATGTCACACGACGGTGACATATGTGTTAAATTCTATCAACCGCATTAAGGATTATATTGTATATTTCAGCTGTGATTGCCACTGCGGGATACAGACGTTGCACACCTGTGATATTCGTATAATGACAGGTGAAGTAAGAATTGGCATGAAGCGCATACAGAGATGCAATTACTGTTATATTAACTGTACTAATTCAGTCAGTAAGTGAGGTACACTGTACGCTGGTTTAATTGTTTCCAGAATGATGTGGTTACTGTTATGTTTGTAGAACACAAACCTACATATGTTTATCACACTGGTTCATATTCGAGTGTAAGAAAATACAACCCAAATTTTATTTTAATTTTTGATTTAATTTCACGTTAATACATGGAATCTTGCTTCAAAATTTAGTTATACTTTTAATCGATATTCTCCATATTAGAACATATTAATGTTCATCTCTTTTTTTTAAATATTTAGTTTCATTTTAACACATATTCGGCTTTATAAATAAGCAATCGAAAACGTGTTGTAGATCACAGAAACACGGGATGATATTAAGGCTGCTCGTGCATCAGGTATTGCCATATCAAACGTCTGTTTCCTGATCCTGTACGCTATAGATGTTGGAAATAGGCCAATCTGCTGTTGACAAATCTCTTTCCCGCTTCCTAATAAATAATGTTTAACTCTCTTCATATTTTGAGTGAGCAGCGATTGGTGTACAACGCCAAAGGGTACAAACATTATTTAATAGATTAACAATATATCCACTCCCATTGTGCTACTTGCCTACATAGTGCAAAATCAATAATTATTTATGAATACGCTGAGAGTATATCTGAAAAGCGAAATGTAACGGAACGGTTATCAATATCCCGTCTCGTCCTCCAAACATATTATATCGAAGCAATGTGCAACGCAGTTTAACGGTTTAAGAAGAACAGTTATACGCATAATACCCAGACCGCCATTTATTCGAATTTGAACGGTAATAATCCACATTTGATAATAATAAAATTACATTATATAACTCTTAGTGTAAAGGGGGAATGCATATATTTCTTAAATCTCAAGTGGGCGTTTTGGTCTATCAGTCATGTATAAACGAGCACATCTGACTGTCTGTTTATTGGTGCAGTATAAACAATTCGAGAACAGTTCGACGAATGGAGAAATATGACAAACTCGACACAAGACTTGCTTGACGGCGGTATAAGGATCTATACCGAAATGTTTCTAGTACAGTATAATAACAAAGTTGTTTTCCACAAATTGTGTCTACTTTGTCATCCGTCACCTTCTAAGAAATGCCTATCAAACAAAGGAAATGTATGTCTTGGTTTTATACAATTCATCACTATGCTCCACATGAGACATACTTAAGATATAAAGAAATAGGTGAGAAATAATATTTTCTTTCACCATTTGAGAAACACATTAGGCAAAGAGCAGATTCTAAATTTAAACTAAAATTGGAAAACACATGAGTTCCTCAACACGTGTGAAATATTTAGCGTAATATATCTGTAGGATTATATGTCACATAATTGTTTTAATAATTTTGATTTTGAATTGCTTGGGGACACAGTCGTAAATTTGTCGAGTAATTTCGTCTTCTTAATAACATTCTAAGTCAACATAATGAGCCTCTTGAGATACTAGTAGAGTATTATATACTTGAAAAAGAGTAAATTGATTAATATAATCCGAAAATAGATTTTTCGTAATTGATTTTTAATTTCATTTTAGATGTTTTAATGTAAAATAAATCTGAACTGACTCGGGTTATTTGATAAAGATTGTGCAGATTTAATGATTTTTTATAACAACTTGGAGCTGAATATTAGCGTAATTCAAAACTCGTTAATATTGAAAAAACATCAGAATATTCAATTATGTGGCCATCATCGTAGATCCACTGACTCTTTGATTGAGATATATGATACCAAATCAGATAACTACTTTGGAAGTAAACTGTGACATACATATAACAATATAGATATACTTTTAGATATTAAAACGTTTTTAAAAATATATTCGTGTTTTGAATATTTATTTCAAATCGGTAAAATGATATCTAACACTTTGCAGACTTAGTAATAGAGATATGTACACTTTACAAACGTTTAGGCGGATGGCTTTAACCTTTAGTTCATGAACTGACGGGCATGTTAAAGCAATACTAAACATTTAAAAATTGGATTGGTTCTAACGATTACAAAAGTTTAAAAAACAGTCGCCGAAACACTGCAAAAGCAAGGTCCAAAACACAACTATGATACCCGTTCAAATATTTCACCATCGAAAAACAACGCTTGATTGTTTCTATTTTAAATAACTGTCAAACATGGGTGCATACTTTCTTTCGCCCGGCGGGCTACGTGCTAACTTTGATGATTTCACTATTACCTCGTATTTTATACTTCGTGCAAACTGACATAATATTAAACTGCATAAACACATTTTATATAGCATGCATATTAAACTTATGCACTAGTTCCTACATATTTGATACAACAACGAACAGATATCATATATGCCTTGCTAGAAAAGTAATAGAATGAATGCAATGTCTGTCAAAGGTCAGCAATTCAAGTGATACCAAAATTTCACGTAATACATGTATAAAGTTAAAAAACGTAGCATTTCAAACATTGATACCTCTGTTTCCGTGTGCATCTATTCCACAGAATTAATGAACAGTTATTTAAGGATCCCTTTTATAAATAATTACGCATATCTTAATACATTCAATGTATATGTTTTGTGACAAAAAACCTCAACATGATTTGGTTTCCCCAAAACAACTCTTTATGATTTATTATGAAAGTTGAACAGTGTATTGGAAAACATAAACAAAAGAAGCTTCCAAAATGAGATTTACAAAATATTTTTGGCCGAAACTTCATATCCTTTGCTAGATGATGAATATTGAAGAGTACCAACTTTATAAGAGTACACAAAGGTGTATAAAAGAATACATGTTCTATAGGCCAATCTTTACGCATCTTGGATGCGTTCTATGCTGTAATATACTTGTAGTCAAACGTATTTTATAACGGGCATTGTAGAACTAAGTGATTTCAATCTTCTGAGTTTGAATTATACATGCAAAAAACGAAGTGATTGCATAAAACAGAAGTCCCCTCTGGGTATAGATGGCCTACCTTAACAGCAGTCGCTACACAATGGTTGTCAAATGTGAACTTCGTACGAGATGATAGCATTCATATATCAATTCACGTTTAGTCAATAAGAAAATATTCATTTGACTGGTAACACACGCGTCTATTGATGTAACTTACAACAAATATAGTCTTAAGAAATATATAGCGGAAACCCAGATGCTAAAGTTCAATGTTAAGGAATGGACAGATGAAATATCTGTCAGTGTTATTGTCTGGTGTTTGCCGTCATTGTAGTCAGCTTTTTCACATTACAGCCACGGAGTGCTGTGCTGCAATTTCTTATACAAAAATAACTCAAGTGAGGGTTTTCCTATTAAAATCGTAATCCAAAAAGAGAATATTAAAAATGAAAATGAAAGTTTACCTGCTACAAGAAACGAATCAACACAATGGATGATGACACCCGTAGAGCTATGTCAAAATACAACAAAACAAATTCTATCACTACATGTAATGATCTAGTAAGTATTAAATCTAGTACAAAGTTTCAAAATCAAACTATGTACATGGCAGCGCGAATACTCACTGTGTTTCAAGTCAACCAATGGGATCGTAAAGACTCCTATATCTGCGGTCCTGCACCCTGTCGCGTGCGGAGCTCGTGCGGTCTGTTCTTTGACGAGACTTAAACTGACGGTATTATGTCCCTTGCCTGGGCAGCGGGCGACTGGGCCCGCCGGTCGGAGGTAATGCAAGATAGCTTCGCGTAATGTGATTTGGCAAGCATTTGCAAGCGATAGTGGCCTGGGCCTTATCACAAGCCAATGCGCTTTATCGGCGTTTGTTACATCGATGTAATCCCTAACGCCGATTTGGGGCCACTTTTCCTAATTCACTTTACTTGGTGTAAGTCTCGATTAATCAGCTAAATAGAGCAGTCATAATGAGAAATTGCGTTTGCCGCGGGCAAGCCTGCGCTCTCTCACAGAGTCAAATGATTAACCGAGAGCAAATTCGAGGACATGGTAATATAAACATATAATATACCAATTGCGATCACTAGCTGAGGCCAATTTTCAAATTTGTCATCAACGGTAGGTTTGTCTGAGACCGTGGTAGGGGGCTGACATGAGATTACGGCCATAAATATTGATGACGTTAAAGGTACTGTACAGACACGGATATCTCACCCACTTTGATTTCGACCAATCCACTGCAATTTTATCACGTGCAAATTGTTGTATTACTCTTAAGGTGATTTCGTTTCCCCATACTTTTCACGTAATTTCATCTTTAACTGTCGAAACCGATCAAAGGACATGCATAATATATAGGGATGTCACTCACGAGCCTTAATGGTGACGCTTAGTGAATCAGAGGCCCCTAATGTTTGATATTCTACTGATCAATTCCCCATCGATTTAAACATTGATGTGTACATGGTTTGACACGTGTCATTCGTCTTGCAATAGACACCTCGTCACACATTCAGTGATACATGTTTACGGCTGTACTTAAACATCGAGTGCTGATAGTCGTTAATATTTTATGGACGAAATAAGCTGTCATTCTGTGTTCATAAAATATAACTTATCGTATTTTACTCTCATTTTATATCTCATACAAAAGACAAGAAAGTTACGTTTGTTTAACACATGTGAAACAAACGTTTATATTTCAAAACAACGTATAGTCAAGTATTTATCACCTGATGAAGGAGTAAGCATATACTCCGAAACGTTGTGATCCTCATAAGAAGTTGGCATCCATAAATTCTCTTCCTTATGTGTATCACTTGTAAATGCCTTTAAAATCTGGATGTGTATTTACATTTATCAATACAGATACAACTTTCGTTAAAACTTATTGAAATTGGACTTTTATTTAAATCCAAGATAACATGTCATGCTGTACTATACACAACGAATATCATAAAAGGTTTAAACAGCGGATATGATTTGCAGGCCACATATTGTGAAGGCACAAATTGACAACGTATGAGATATGCTCCTGTTGTATTTGTCTCAAGGAGTGTGCATTTATAGACATTTCAGCAATATTTATGCAACCAATGTCTTTCGAGTAATAATTATTATCATTCTGACGGGTAACAGATTTATTACCCAGGAGGATATGGCTGAATCATGTTTATAGTACCCTAAGAACATTACTGTCCGTATCTACAGGGAATGTCTAAAATACACGGTTTTCGTTCTCAAAGAAAACTTTGAACATTGAAAAATGTAAAACATTGTAATGCGATGTCACAAAACAAGATACCTTCTGAAACGTTTTTTTAATATTATTCTATGATTACTTATCTTTAATTGTTTATATTAAAACATATACCCTTACAGCGCTACATTTAAGGATAAGATGCGCTGAGAAAAATAAGTCGTGTTGCAACAAGAACAGAAATAATTTAGAGCCATTATGTTAGCTTCCGTCTATAAATAACTTTCCTTGTTTTTGATAGAAGATTAAAAGATTGGACCATTAAAATAATTAATGTGGAGGGAAGCGGTGTCTATTTCTCCTCGCGATAGTGATTCATACTGGAATTAATTCTAGTCACAAAGAATTAACACATCTTCCATATTCTTCTCCATAAATATTGTCCATGTGTCCTTTATTCTTCCCTCCACCACTCACCCTCTCCCTTGTCCCTCCCTACCTTCTTTCTATCACATATATATGAGCTTTAGTCTCCATCCATCACTTACGATGTCTGCCTGGAGAGAGAGAGAGAGAGAGAGAGAGAGAGAGAATGGGGGATTGTGTATTTATTTGTTCATACAAATATAAAACTATCCATAATTTTTTTTTAAAACACCATATGTACAATGGCGCCCTAAAGGGGCTTTATCGCAACTCTCTCTCTCTCTCTCTCTCTCTCTCTCTCTCTCTCTCTGATTGTTCCCTTATTTCAGTGTGTATCCATCCTTTCTTCTTTTCATCCTTAAAATATAACTAATAACTTATAACTCCCTCCCCGATTATGATATTCCTCTTTGCTGTCCCACCGATGTTCTCCTCCCAAACCCCTGTTTCTGTTTGCCCCCCCCCCCCCCCCCCCCCCCGCCGCCCTATCACCTCCAATGCTGTATACCTATACACATACAAACAATCACAAATTCTATCTGATCAATACCAGTTTGCTCCCAAATGTTACATAGCACATACGATCGCTAACAAAATACAAATTTGTGAAAGGTTGTATTTTATTGCTTCAAGAGATCTGCATAAATGCTGTTTGCTGTCTTAGCGCTGCTTGTGAGATTTCATTCAGCGACAAGCCAAACCACGGTGAAGCCATCGAAAAAGACAAAAGACCGACTGAGACCTAATTCAATTTGCTTATTTAGCGATGTAACGCATACTGGCGATTGCCCATAACCTAATTTGCGTGATAAATGACGTACTTACAAGTCTTGATCGAATTAAAATGATGCAAGCCTAGTCGTATCATTCATCAATTAGGAAAACTTAATAAGTCAATTACATTTTGAGATAAACACTTTTCAGGGCGCGACTTTGAAACTTCAAGATTTACTTTACCTCAAGGCTTGTTTTCGAGCAAAATATTCTCTCAAGGAAGCGAACTTCGGATTTTTAAAAATTCATGTTTTGCATTGCCCCATCTTGCAATAGGAGCTTAAACTGGATAAATGCAATTAACGTCGTTCGTTTCGATAGGTTAGCTTAAAAACAACATCTAATTGAATAATTAGATATAGTTTTTCATAAAATGGATTTTTCTTGTCGACAGAGAAGGAAATAATCGTGTAACTGATATGACCGGTTTGGAGGAGGGATGGCTATTATTCCCCTTTCGTTTTTGTTCACTTGGGGCTTTTAACTAAATTATATATGCCAGGCCCGTCACTAAAAGTAAGTAGAACGCTTTGCGTACCAAAGAAAGAAATTAGTCGCTTATATATCTAACAAATATGTTGGTCAAACATATATTTCGGTTTGTGCTTATATCCGTATGATATACCATACTGCAAGTATATGCAAAAATATGAATCTAAACTAAAACTAGAATATAATATTTCTCGGCAGGTACTTTTAAAAGGAACTATTTTTCGGGAATTATTAATGGACACATATTGCTTGGAAAGTTGAATGAAAAGGTGAGCGAATATTTTTGTGTATATGCTTTTATTTAGCAACATTACAGATTCTACTGATATATATATATATATATATATATATATATATATATATATAGAGAGAGAGAGAGAGAGAGAGAGAGAGAGAGAGAGAGAGAGAGAGAGATATAGATATAGATATATAGATAGATAGATAGATATATATTATGAACAGATTTTAATGTGGATATAAAACAATTCGGATAAACCTTTGAGTATAATTTGCTTCTTATGGTTCTTCTAGTACTTGATATTAATTATATTTAAGTTCTATATTTCATCAACTGTCAAATTTTATATGTGTATAAATCTGTATTATTAAGTACAATATAATCAAATCAATTCATGTTTGAATGTCATGTCATCACTTCACAGTGAAATCTGTGTGCCACGGCCAGGATTACGCTCCACGTATAACGGTATATAATTACACCGGGTTTTTTTACTTTACGTCATAACACTAATTTGTATAAACAGCTTATCTCAATAACTAACCCCCTTTATTAAGCATTTATTTGTTAAGTGTTATTCATATGACAACTTGTTAAATGCCCCTTTATATACATGATATCTTAATTTGCTTTAGGCTCAGAGGATGTTGCCATTGAAATCAGCCCGATTGTTGTTCGATAGGCTATACCATACACTTGCGAACAATCATGAAATGCGGCTGATATTGATCGAAACAAATATCATGTAAAATGTGTATATCCGCCTTCACGCACGAAACAATAACGGTGAAAGTCTTCATCATGCCACGAGCTCGTTATGGGGAATTTAATGCTCTCTTCCTAGTTTATCTCCCTTTGTTTTTCTCTGCAAAACTGCACATGACAACTATTGTCGGTAACAGCGTATGAAGTAATGAACGAATTAATTCTACGTTCTCCCGGATCATATTTGATTCTAATTATCTGTCATTAAACATCTGAAATTTACCATCAAATAGAGAAATAACGGAAACAAACAGTAGTAAACATAATTTCTTAGGAAGGGCGAAATTAACACCAATAGACACCCTTTTCTAAAAAACGTGTTTTAAAAATTGAAGTGTTAAATATCAGCTGAAAGAAAGAGTTATTACCGAATGAAATATTACGAAAGAGTGCTGTATTAGAAGTACGTTATGGACGTTGTCTCACCTTGATAGATTATGATGTCTGTTTCAGTGTAAAAGGAAGTGACGCCTGTCACTGGTGTCCGAGAAGCCGTGTACAAACGTTGTCAATATCAGCGATGTGCTCCTACTCGCGACGCGACGGATACTGACAATATTATATATCATCGTCGCCCGTCAACCCCTCTTTGATGTCTGGACACATGACAACAGGATTTTAATTAGCATAATGAGGTTTTAAACGCTCGCCGCGGAGGTCAGAGTTAAGAGGTCAGAGGTCGATTGCGATCGACCACTCGCAATGGAGACCTCTCCACGGAGGGATATTAGCCGAAGTTGGAAAACAAGGCTAGGTCGTCAAATTAGACTTGATTATGTCAGCCTGTAATCTAATATAGTCGGGATGAATCTTTATCAACGAGCGTTACAACAAGCCATTCGGTGGCGGTTTGGTTCGGTGATGGAAATGCGAAAATAATCTTGCGAACTGGGAGCTTATTGCACGCGTGTCATCCGTCAGGGTACAAGAACTCTTCACTGCTATTAATATCGCTCCGTGGGGAAAATTAGCACTAATCCCTCAAAAGAAAGAAAGATTCTTTGAGTTTATTCGACCCTCGGTGGAAGGAAAGCCGATTTACACGCGCATTTGTGTATAGTCGGTCTGCGATCGATAGTGTCCACTTCAAATTACTTTGTGCATAATTTATATGCGAGTAAGTCCCTTCCTCTCTCCCGGAGACATCTAACGTATGGTCATCTCACTGGACATGGCCCGCACGGCCTGATAACTCGGGTCCAGCGTTAAGGCGTTCGTTTTCGGAGAGACGTGCGGTCGTCACAGCCAGTACTTTAATTGAGCTGTCACATTGGCGCCCACGGCTTCTCACTGCTGTTTTCACATAAAAGTGAAACATATTTTGCTTTGCCACGTTAAACAATCGCTAGAGGGAAATATGATCGAAGCAGTAGAAAATTAACTTATCATATGTTTAATTTATGCTTCATGTTGCCCGGGGTGTAATTTGCAATGAATCAACGCCCCGACCCAATAAATCAACAATTTTAATACGCACAAATGAAAGATTAATAGAATTTGAAGGAAAGTTTCATTCCGTTTGGCTTCGTGTGATCTTTTTTAAAACGACATGACGTTATGAATTATATATTTTAAGAAAAAATATTATGTTATTTCTGAAACATCTGTTTTTCATTTACTGGGACCACTGACAAGACACTTTCACGAAACTACAAGCTCCATGGTTTACTTGTACAGTACATTACGGTCTTGTGTAGGTCAGTGAGTACATGCACATTTATTGGTATCATTTCGTCCAATTTGTTTATTTGGATAAATTTTAAATTAAAATAAATGAAATATATCACAAACTGTTATATAGCGTTATAAAGTTAACAATGTTCGCGCAAAACGAAGGATATTAGTTAGTGTTTAAAGAGTGTCCGTCAACCCGTGGCTAGTAATATACTAGGCGGACTATACTAATTACTTGAGTCTCCTATTCCACCAGTCTGGAATATATATATCCAGGTTATTTCACAATGACCGCACTGAAAACCTCCATGAACCTCAATTTTCACAATTGATATTCGTGTGTTTATTAAGGGCCATATTTTAAATACAGGTGGCCTGATAAGATCGGTTCTCAGTACCTTTAAATTAATTTTAATGTTCTTAACTGATACTTTTCCTGTTTGTAAAAAAATATTTTGAGAGACGATAATGCCCGATTATGTATTTCTTAAAAAGAACTACAACATTGCTACCTCTCTCGCAGCACATATAATGCGTTGTTCCCTGGTGATTGTTGATATTGTAACTATTCAAGCGCTACTGGTCACTTCGACCAGTTACAAGAAGAAGAAGAAGAAGAAGAACTGGACACTTCGACCAGTTACAAGAAGAAGAAGAAGGGGGAGGAGGAGGAGAAGAAGAAGCAAAATATGATATTGATGTGTCATACTTTAAGTTTACAGTGTATAAAATCATGATAATAACAAAGGAAAATCTACCAAAGCCTTTCTGCTTACACAGTCGTACATAGACAACATCAATTATTAATATAATAATGTACATGCATGTATACACATACATAGTTCAGTTATTTCGAAGGATGTGCTTTTGTAGTTTGCACTATAGCAACTATTATTTTGGACAATCCGTAAATTTTATTTTTTTGTGTCATTATTTCAGATAAGTGCCCCCTAGTCGGTCTGCACTCCAAAGAGTTTTCTATTTTTATCAGTTTTCTTAGCACGATGTGCTTATAAAAATACACTAAAACAATTTATCGATAAATTTAGCTGTATTTTTTAAACGATAAATAGTGTTCCTAGTATATTCCTCGTGTCTCACTTCGTTCAAACATTTAGCGATATTTCAGGAAGCGTTATAGGGAATACTTTCACAACGAATACGAAGTACAGCACAATTTATGGTGTCAGAATACATAATACAGGTGTCATATTCTTCCAAATTTAATACAGTAATATAATCTGTCGTTTGCTTCCAAATTATGGTGATAGTATTTTTCAAAGCAGGTTAATGGGTTTTTTATAAACACGCTAGCTTTAAGGATTATGTTAATCGGTTTAATGAGAAATTCGACAGAAATATTAAAAAACTCCATCAAGAATTTCTACAACACTTCAAATCATACATAGCAAAAATGTTATCCCAGATAACTCTGACAGTAAAATAAAACCTCCATATACCGGGCGTTACAATATTAAAACACAAAAAAACAATAAATATATAAATGGCTATCAGAAACCCACAACATAAATGAATGTATAAAGGACCTATTCTGTTATGGATCTGAAGACTAAAGAGGCGGACTAACGAAAGAGTTAAACAAGAACAGGAACAACTATTAATTGTTCAGCAACACGGTGCTAGGTAACACAATATTGTTACACGATACTAACGAAGCGCCATACAATCCGCTACGGTCGTTTACCACTACAAAACATCTTTATCGACAACGTCTTGGCCTCTGGTTGGGTTGGGTTACTTGGAGTAGCCATATCGTCTCGCATCTAATACAAAATACAAGACTCGTCATCCTACTGACAATAGTATTCCCTGCATAAATTTGAACCTGATTTTTTAATACGAAAACCTGAAACTGTGGCTACAATGATGCCTCTAAAAACATGTGTTGTTAATCATCATTATATTCTGTCCCAAACGAAATTATTAAAAATACAATTTAATGAGGATAATAATTTGCATCCTTGCAATAAGTGCATTTCACGGACTTGAGTATTCTGTAAAATGGTAGAAACTGAATTCGCCAGTGCCTGTATTTTATCATTCCTAGTGTTTATAATGTTATTTATCGCGATATCTTTTTATGGTTCCATACTTGTTTTAAAATATACATCTGTGATAATCTAGTTGATTTACTGTCCTTTGCCGACAGGTTTTATAATCAGACTGTATGTATTATTACTGTATAACTTGATTTAGTCACGATATGGCTGAAATATTGCCGATGTGACTATAAATATTCACTCACTCACACTCACTCACTCACTCACTCACTCACTCACTCACTCACTCACTATCATTCCAGATCATACACACATATGTAAAATCACGTATTGTTAAACAATAGAGCCAGCGGATTGAAAATAATGTACTTTGAAAATACATAATTCATGTGCATTTTAGTATTACATACAACAAACCCCATATGTTTCGTTTAATTGGCAATATATGTTTTGTCTACATTGCAAACATATATGATTAATTTCATAAGAATGTATAAAAAATTCAACTATTGCAATCATATTTGCCTGTGGTGTCTGGTAGTTCTGAATAACCCATATGCTTTATGAAATCTGTCAATTTGTAAATTTGAATTTTAGAAAAGATTGGTGTAAGTACTGTTGGCCGTTCAAGGGAATGCCACAAACATATGTTTTGTGTCAGACCTACTATCCCACTCCCCGTGTCGCTTTGTGGTAAAGGGCATATGATCTACGTAGAATAGACAATAATACGTTACACCGTCATGCTATCTGGACAACATTCCATTCTCGCGCGATGTGGCCACCATTTTTCCAAGCTGCCATCCAAATTGTATTATGTCACTGCGTTGATCACAAGAGCGGTGTGCCTCTGCACTTTATCAAAATTATTAGATTATTTGGCGGTTCGTGGATAAATAATTTAGCTGCCATCTTTGTTTCATATCTATAATAATGTCTTGCATCAAACATAATCATATTAAAACATTTATCGTATTATTCAATTATATCGCGTTTTATTGATGCCGCCTTGCTTGCCAGCCGACTTTGTATGAAGGGAATGGCTTGGAGATTGAACTTCATCGGTCCAGCTTGCTTTCTTACAGATAAGACGGCCCTCCCGCAGCAAGTTTGACACGGAGCAGATCTCGCTTCTCCAACGCCGTATAAACGAAACCATGCGATAGCGTGCCAAATTATTCTCTCAGCTTTATTATTTGATTAAGCGCAATTACGGATGATAAAAATTTGATTAGCTCTCTAGTTGAGGCACTGTCTCCGGGCTTAAACGAAAGACGAAGTTTGTCCCTACGACTGAGAAGCTTCGAGGGTAAATAATCTCTAACGCCTGACTCCGAGGGGGAGAGGATGGGAGGAAGCTCCATGCAGCGACAAACAACGCAAAACGTCGTCGTGAGTGATGATCAGACTGAGCTCGACTCAGACAACAGAAAGAAAGCGTCGCCCTGACTGTCAGTGATCGCTACCCAGGCGTTGCTCAATTACAAGGCTAATTGAAATGTCTCCTCTTATATCCGGGTGTTTTTCTGAGCGTTATTTCCGTGCAATGAAGTGTATGTTCGATTACTGGCTTTGTTCAAACGCAAAATAAAATGTTTAGGAAATTGTGAAACAAAAACCTAGTTGGATCGGAAATGTTTTGCAGGTAACTCGTGCTAACACATTAATTATTTGTTTCTTCTGGGAAAGATCACAGAACTGGGTTTTTGTCTCTGTCAAGGGCCTGATGGGATTGCCCAAAGCAGTCTGCAAAAATAAACATCACCCGCAGTAGTCTATCTACCGCAGAAAGACAAAGGTCAACGGGTGGGTGACGGACTAATTTCACAACTGGCCAATCCCAAATTTCCTTTCTTGATGCCGAAAAAATACTATATGCGACTCCTGTATCCTGCTGACAGCTAAGAACATTATCGATTTGATA